GGCATTTTTTCCGCTCCATTTCTCATCCTTTTTCTCTATTTACTGTACACCTAAGGCTATGTCGTTTTTTATTTTCATGATATTTTACCATTACAGTTGCTGATACTATTACAAGCCGTCTTATATTACTTATCGTCCTCTTACAATTTTCCCTATCGATTATTCTGCATCCTGAAGCCTTAATCAAATCCATTTACATTTTTTTATTATTTATAATTTATCTACTCTATATGAGTATTTTATTCTGGGTAATTAAGAAACACTCTTGACATCGTTTCAATCCTCGTTCACAGCAGGCAAGCAGCTCATTATAAGTTTTGTCACTAGACACGCAGGTGCTGGTTTAAGTCCTTCCCGAATTGAGATCGGCCTTAGACGAGGTCGAAACGATAGTTATACGCGGATAAACCGGCAAATTTGTGTGACGAATTTATGTGGTAGAGCAAGTTTTCGGGCTCATTTGCACGCTACTCTGACCCAATAGGCTAGAAAGATATACCGGATGAGTTGGTCCCGAAGCTATTAATATAATGTGCATAAGAACTGGTCCAAACATCTTGGAAGGGGCAAAGTTTTCAGCCTGAAAGTGACGTGTCCGGTTCCCGTTCTGCTCCAATCCTTTGCTGGTCAAAAGTTGTAATTCGAGGAGTCACTTGATTTGCCTTGTTGAGTTCACTTCAGTTTCGAGTGAAGGATTGTGTGGGAGTAGGATTCGCGTAGGTCGATCTCAATGGAATATGACCTACTTTACTGAGGCCATCTGCTTGCCACAGTCTTCGAGAGATCTTCTTTTCCGGCAAAGGCGTTCCGCTATGCCAGTGACAGATCAAGATGCTATTCCTACCACTACCTCGAGTTAACGGGTTAACAAAACTCCCCGCCACACTCCTGCATACTGCATAAATATTTAATTTCTCTATATCTGACAAATATGTATATGCATAAATATATTCGTACGTACACATGTGTATATATTTCCTTTTCGAACTGAAGTGTATGCGATCAGGAAGTTTATTTTGGACAATTCCGCTAGAAGTCTTACGGATCCCTCTTGAATATCGGTCGCTTAACTTTACTGGAACATTCTGAGGGAAGCTTTCCTAGTACATTGATTCGCTTCGTATCCTAACGCATATACAGACGTACAAGCATGTATGCACACATGTTTACATAGGCGAACAGAAAATGCAAAAAACTATATATCTATACTTCCTTTTCATAGAATCTAGTTAAAATATTTATAAGTGCTTTTCCTGGATGTTTTTTATCCTCTATTTATGCATACGGTAGATTATTTTTCTCCCAATCTTTATGAACATGTGCGTATTTGTGATTGTGTTTAAGGGTGTG